TATATAGTTTCAATTATATATATAAATTTATATATATATATAAATTTAAAAAAACTTGATCAACTTTCACATTAAATAATGCCCCAAAATACCAACTTAGATATGATATCTTGATAAGACCCTAACTAATGAAGGACAGAATATAAATGACTTCAAGCCGCCTCAATATTCTAATATTTTTTAGATTCTAATATTTTTTAAAAAGAAGATCTGTTTGAACTAAGTCTGAAAAATTTAAGGTAGTATTTGCATGATAATACAGTTATCCTTGTAATCACTGTCACTTACTGAGCATTGCTAGAACTACACACACACTGTGCTAAGCCCTTTTACATATCATGTTAGTTAACCCCAACAATCATGTCACCATTATCCCTTTTGCAGTTCAAGAAACTGGCTGAGAGAGTTTAGGTGTCTTATCTATAATCACAGGTGTTAAGTTACAGGAGAGACTGGATTCAAACCAGTTCTATCAAATCTGAAATGCGACCTTTTAGCTACTGCAACATATTGACAGTTTTAGATAGATCACCTTGCAATAACTATAGCAGCCTGTTTGGTTTATGCCTAGAATGGCAATAAAAACATCAGAATAATTTAAGCTGTTTTATTTCTTAGTAGAATGACTAGATTTTCCCGGGTTTTTCTAGGCAATAAATTCATGTGAGGCCCTGAGTTTGACCCCAACCACCAGAAAAGAAAGAAATTCAGTAGTTATAGAATATTCATTATAAAGATCGCGCCTGATACTCACTTTACCATAAAGCACAGAGTTTCCAATCACTTAATAACAATTGTGAATGAAAAGATGATTTTTCCTCATTGGGTTTCTAATGAAAAAATAAGCCATTGGCAGAGGGTGGTGGATTAAAGAAATCTTACTTTATGATCTCCCTGTCTTTTCAATCAGTAGGCTGTTCAATTTTGTTTGCTTAAAATAATTTTACATAATAAAATTTTTATTTTAATTGTAATTGTCAGTTGATTATGTAAAAATAATGAGGATAAATAAATAACAAAATTGGATTCACTGAAAACTGACCCAATAAAAAGTGGAAAGTAGTTGTAAATTTCAGATCAATTTTCAATCACACAACCTGGAATTAGTTCTCCATATGCAGACCTACATTTGTTTAAAATTCCCCACTAAAAGGATATGCAGCTACTTTCTCCATTCTCTCCTTCTAAACTTCAGAACAGCATCTGAACCCCCCCTTTACCTGAAGGCTCCCATTCTCCTCTACTTAACCTGCAAAACTTTGAATCTACTCACCGACCCCTGATTGAAACATGACTTAATTCCTTTAAGAATGACGCTACTTCTGCACTGTGAATGGAGTCTATTCTTGTCTCTCCACCCCCTTATCTTTTTCTTTTTTCTGAAACTGTTCTCAATATCCTTACAATGCTGTAGAATGAGCACATTTCTAACTGCTCTTCAAATCCACAGGGCTGGTTTTTAAGCCCTGTTTTTTTGTTTTTTGTTTTTTGTTTTTTTTTTTCTCACTCTGCATTTTGGTGGGAAATACTTGAATCTGATCATATGACATTGCCTACTTAACATCCCAGACTCCACAGAGTGAAAATGCTAGGTTTCTGCATCTTCCTCGGTGCTCAGCTGTGCAGAGCAGAAATCAACAAGAAAGCCCACACTGTGTCCCCCAGGAACTTCACCTACCACACCCAAACTTAGACTCTTGTTCCTTTTCTTTTTTATTATGTTTATTTCCTTTAACCAACATTTTTAAAAGTCAATTCTAAGGGGGGGAAACGCACTTTATCAGAGTCAAAAAATATTTCCCAAACTCTAAAAGAATCAATTATTGGAAAACACAAAGTTCCTACTTACGCAACCCCTTCTGACAAGACAAGCCTGTTTCCTTTCTCTTTGCTTCGCAGCTCCACAAAGCCACAGCAAGAAACTCTGATATTTATAGCCCTGTTGTTTACCTCACCCCTCAGCTATGGTTCAAAGTTCAATGCAATCTCTCAGTGCTGTGACCTTGCAAGCACAACAAAGCCCCCAAACTGATTAAGATTATTATCTACTTTTTTAAAAAGTGGCAGGTGCTGTCCTACATAAAGAGGAACAGGTTTGACACTTACTAATTCCTTCCCTGCCCTTTTCAGTCACCCCAGTATCTAGGATGTAATGGTACAGTCGGGGGCGGGAGGAAGGACTAAGGGTGGAGAAGACCTCCCAAGTCCTGTTCTTTGCCAAACTTCAACAGGGAAAAACATTTGCTGAGCCAGCAAGTTGTGCTGCTGCTTTATAAAATAAAAAAGAATTTTTTTTTTCCTTTCCTATTCCTTTGTGGTGACAAGATGCTAGCTTAGTCCACACACTGTGAACTTTGTTAGAACACTCACCTGCTCTTTCAAAGAATTCTGGTCTCTCACTGTTACAGATGCTGTTAAAGACCAGTGTAGACTGTTTTGCTGTGTTTTAAACTTGGATCATTGTGAGATCTAGGAAGACCTCTGCTCTTTTTTTTGATGTTGTTGTTTTGTTTGTTTTTGCATTTACAAAGAAAAAGAAAAAATCTCCTATCTGAAGAAAATCAAGCCTCATTTTATCACAAAAGTCCTACTCCCTGGTGGGTAGATATGATCAAAGCACTGTTATATGCATATATGGACATATCACAATGAAATTCATTAATCCATATAATTAATAACTGTTCATAATTAATAACTGTTGATAATTACAATTTTTTCAAAAGAATCCCTACTCCCCAAAAGATCTATGTGTCCCATGGAATTTTTAAAGAATCTAATGTGAAATCTTTACAAATACAAGTTTCCTACAAAAAAAAAAATTGGAAAATTTCTTCTCTTTCAGAAAGGGGAACCTCATTCCAGCAACCATTATAAGCTGGCACATTTGAGTGAGGTAGAGATAGAGTCCCCCAGTTTCCCTCACCTTTTGTCCTGATTGAAAATTACAGAATGCCTTGAACACTCTGAGACTCCAGCCAGCTACAGTGTTTTCTTTATAGGCTGAAGCCCAAGCCAACACCTTGAACATTCCCAGCCACTAATAAATGTATTTAGATTGTTCGCAAAACACTGAAAGAAACTGGCACCCAGCCCTGAGCCAAAATTTCTGAAAGTCTCATATTATCTCTGACCACTTTACTGCCGACATAGCTAAGTAAAACACCTTTTCACTCACTGTTCCTTGCAAGGATAAGCTGCAGCATTGATAAATGTAAATGCTTTGGACTAATCACCCTGGAGTTTAGTGCTTCTTACAGTTTGGGGCACTCATTTGTGGGAATTTCCCTTTCACCTCTCACTGCTTTTAAGGTGACTCCAGTTTATTGGTTTAGCAGGACAAGGCACAGTGATAGACGATGTCATCTCTAGAGAGTGACAGTTTTCAAGTAAGCCTTGCTTTTACTATCAATGCATTTTGTCCAAACAGACCCCTATTGATTGCCATCTGCTGGATAACTATTGTACAAGATGCAGAAAATACAAAGAAGCTCAGATGTTGTCCTTCCTATAAAGAAACTTCATATCAAATTAGATGCCATTTTTTAAAAAGCTCAATTCTGTTTTCTTTCACCAAGCAGCAGTTTTGGGGTCTTGTCCCTTTAAGAATCCAAGCAAAATAAACCAAACGCAGGAAGTCAATGGTTGTATGTTCTCTCTCATGTGGGGAAGAAAGGGGAAAAGGGTGTGAGAAAGATGTGTGGGGAGTCATATGAAAATAGAAGGGACACTAGTAGAATAGAGGAGCCCCTTCCTCTATTTCTTCCTACCAGGGGTAGAGAGAAAGGGAATTAAATTGACCAAATTATATTGGTATATTTTATGCATGTACAAATATGTAACAGCAAATCCACTATTATATATAACTATAATGCAATAATATTAAGTTATTAATCAAAAAATTTCAATTAAAACCCTAATTTTTTCTCCTCAGAAAAACTGAACATATACATACTCAATTTAAAAAAAAATCTTTGTATGAAGCAGATAGTCTTCTCTGTAGTTCATTTTCTTGACAAATTTAAATAGCCATATTGTTTTATCTGCTGCAGAAAAGCAAGTATTTCACCATCTCTTTCCTTTGCATCCAGCTTAGCAGCTGCCTCCTGCCCCAGAAGGACTCCTGCCAAGTGTGCAGCTGGCTCCAAAAAAGAGTACCCAAGAGTGTATGTGTGTATGTGTCCAGGATTGGGTATGACTAAAACCCCAAAGTGCAAAACAGAAAGGAAACTTGCAAGATTTGAAAGGAATTCATTCTTAGCTTCTTCTATGCTGGGTGACCTAGAACCATTCAACATTTTTAAGAAAGCAGAGTTTTCAAGCAAACATTGATCGGATATTAAATCAAATTCCATTAAACAAACAAGTTCTTATTGGCTGCTTATGTAAGATGCAATTCTAATCTGGGGACTACAGAAATTTAAAAATTAACAGTAAAAAATTCTATATCCTTTGTTGCCCAGGACCTCAAATCTCCTAGAGTAGACAGACAAGTAAGCAGAAAAAAAAAAATCAGACTGAAGTGTGATTGTGTCTAGGATGCCTATAAGTACGGATTCTGTTGGAACCTTCGACATGAGAAAAAGGAACATTGAACCCAGCTGGAGATAGAGTGGGTGTGATAAGGTTGGCATATACTGAAGCAAGTTCAACAGTTACTTTATCTTGGATTTTACCCACCTACACAGTACCCAGCAAGCCTGACCAAGGCACTGTCTAGTTAGTTCTTGATTGCTGCAATAATTTTGAATGGCTATAACTTCCTGATAGGTTGCTGCCGCCATCGGCACTTAATCAGATATTAAGATTTGTCAGTGCAACTGATAGACTCTCAAGTGTGACTTTGTCCTAAGGATCTCATCTCTTACAACTTCCAACTCTGGAGTCATGACTTAAAGCCTTCCTCCTGTGCCACTCTTCTACTCCTTACCATTTGTCCCCAGAATGCTTATGCCTATATTTAAGCCTTTTTAAAAATAAGCATTCTCATGATTTTATGAACAATAGGTAATTTTATGGAGAACAGGGCACAGAGAATCTGTGAGTCCATGATATAAGAGACAAGGGCTATAAACCATGATTTTATAATCGATTTATTAGCTAGAGCAGATGAGAATATGGCATCCCTCCATTAATTAACATTTATGAAACACTGATATCTCAAAATGTTAGAAAGTAGAAGAGTATTATTATTATACAAAGCACCCATGTAAAACATTAACCTCTTTGGTTTAAGTGGTGTTTTAATATACAAAGGGAAATGAGGACTTTCCCGACAGAGAAATAATGCCTTTGGACTTAAATGATCTTTTCTTCCCTTTGCATGTACCAAAAGCTGCCCTAAATATCATTCTATGAGTGGTACCAAATATAATATTGTTTTAACATCTATACTGAAAGATTGTAAGCCTCTGAAAATCCAAAGGATGCTTAAGAAAAAATAAAGTTTTGGGTTTTTTGATGCTGGGGATTGAACCCAGGGCCTTATGCATGCTAGGCAAGCCACTCCATCACTAAAGCATATACCTAGCCCAAAAGCAAGATTTTAAGAAGCAAACAAGATAAATAAGAACAATGGCCAAAGGAAGACATGGAAACAGAAGTTGGATGAGATAAGACCTAGTTGGATTCTTTGAGATTCAAATGAGACTGAAGTATGCTTAGAAGAGATTTTTCCTTAAGTTCACAAGTTTACAGATATTCAGATCCTTTGATATATCAAACAAATGCAATTAGCTGGATAACCACATACTGTGCCAAATTTCACATTGTACTGAGCACTTTCAGAGAATAACAAACATCAAAAGAACTTTTGTTTGAAAAAAGCTGTAAATAATTTTTTAAAAATCTTACCAAAACTAATGCTCGGGCCTGTAGTTCCTCATGAGTTGGTATCAGCATTGACATGTGAAAAGCATGTAGGAATATTAAATGACCCCTAAAATACATTTGTCCCCTGAATGAATGGAATATCCACACAGGATAAGGTCAGGGAGTTTGGGATCAGAAGAATAATGTGGAATTATGGCCTAGTCGAATACCTGGATGGCCCAGCAATTGGCATTTAGCTGCTCAACGGGGCAGGGTAGGAAAGGCAGAGGTAGTTTCCACTGGACAGGGAATGGAACAAATCACAGCTGTTCTCAGGGCCACAGAGGGGTCGGGATGGGAGCCTGAATCACAACAGTAGGGAGATTCACTAAGCTTGTTGGTGAATTATTGATTTCAAATAAATAT